AGTCATACCAACCACCTTTCGAAGTGATGCTGTAGTTATCGCTAAGTTCAAGTGAAATTTCGCGTCTGCAACGCACGGTGGAAACGAAAGATGATCGCAAACATATGTCGAAAACCTCGCAGCGGACCAGCAACGTTGCCCGAGGCAAGCGGCGGCACCAATGTCAAACCAATAGATGAAGCCAGACACCCTCTCGGAGCGAAGAACACAGATAGTTCATTCCATGCTGGAAGAATGATTCACAAAAAGTTCATCATGATTTTTGTTTTTTGCCACAGTGGTCATAGTGCACGATGATGAAGTGAAACACTATCAAATGAAGACAGGTACCCCCCAAAGCAACAGATATCAAATATATGTCGACGCAAGGGAAACTTATTCACTCGAAAAGTTCAATGAATATCATTTGAGTGCCGGTAGAAATCGGGCGCGAGTGAGTACAATAGCAGCATCTGAAGACTGGCACCCGGCCGTGAATTCACAACGTCCATATACATATTATCCGTCGCGCCCACAGCACGATACATTCGAATATTTGTTTGAGAGTATGCACCTGCAGAGCAAACATATACTAGAAACACCAGGCTGGTGAGCGAGAACCCCAACTTTCCTGCAGAAACCCACCTCGCCCTAAACAACATTAATTCGTCCGTAACCCATTCGTCCACGCAGGCATAGTAGTTCGTTGTATACAGCTATGAAGTCTTAAACGACTCCTGATAAACATGCTAGCTCGAACTAGTGCGCAGGTGGTTGTGTATCCTAGAAATAGAGATAAGCACCTCGCCCTGACTGATATACATTCATACCTCATTCATCAACGTGACAGAATGGTTCGTTCATTCGCTGGAAAACGAACATTGAACTTGATGGCCGGCGGCCGGCAGTGTCCACTCGATCTCCTTCTTGCATGCGTCTCTCGGTTATACAGACAACGCAGGAGAACCCGTACGAAAAAAGGTGATTGTTCGTACCTCCTCCCTCTTGTGGGCTTGGACTGGCTAGAGAAGACGACATTGGTTGCTTGCTCTCGGACATTTTTGCTTCGAGAAATGATTTGGTCGTAGATCCATTGTGGAGGTCATTGCCTCATGACTCATTACGTTTCATTCAGTGGTTGGTGGTTTGGAAGGAAAATGTGAAAGCGAGACCGGAATTCCCCTGACCCAGAATTCGTAGTGACAATATTTTTCGTCTCAATACTCAATGTGGAAAAGGTATCCCACGAATACAGCAGCATGGAATGGCGCCCGAATCTCCTCGTTTCATTCTTTGATTGATTGATTGGGAGATAAATCTGTGTAGGTTCTAACAAGACGAAAACAATCAACCATCCATGTGAATCGGGGTGCCAGTATTTTGGAAGTATGTTATACTCACTCCTTGATGTGTGGGCAGGTGGCGCCCGTACTTACGAACCCGTAGTTCTGGCCGAGGCTGGGGTTCTTAAATGGAACGGTTGTACCGCGAATGGCCGCGGCATATCGTATAGGAGAACCGGGTTCACCAAACGGTGCCAAGTTCTCAAGGGATGGCCAACAACATAAGAAAACGTATGAGCTCCAGAAAATGGACGCGAGGCACCCGAGGCCAGTCGAAGCCATCGGGAAATCAGAAATCGTTGACTCTTACACGGGGCGGCAGTAGAGGCGGGTGAAATTAACCTATGAGCCTACCCCCAAACGCCTCTCCTATGAAACCAAATATACAAAAATATCACACCAGTCCAAATTCCATCTTGTTTGTACACTGACCCAAGAAATTGAGCCAGCGTCAGAAGGCGTTTGGCTGCCATGCTTGAAGTGCGGGATCTAGAATAATGGCTGCATGTTTAGACTGCATTCATGTTCGGCTGGTTTCCACATCATCCGTTGTAGTTTTGGGCCGCGTAAAACTCTTCTCCCCTGCTCGGCGTGCGTGAACAAGTAGCAGCACTGTTGGCTGATTTTACTCTTCCACGACAAGTACGGGGGTGCGCACCCATCACGTACTGCAAACGCATGCGGTACATTGACCTCGCATCTCTGCATCGAATGCCGGGACGGAGCGGTAAATGCAGGGTTTTCGAAGGCCCAGGCCACGTCGCGCGAGCTTGAATGAACCAGAAGCTTGTCATCATACTTGCCTTTGAAAGGAGGAGTGAAAACTACCACCTATAAATGAAACTGTTGCTTCTGTGTCGTGTGCTCGGCAGACAGAAAGACTATGTAGGCGGAGATTATGTCAACTGGCCGCCCTAGCTCCCTCATGTTGTCTACCCACTCACCCGACCAAGAGAATACGAACCAACGGTTCGTACGAGCGACGACTAGTGACCTGATGCCGACCCGTGGGGATTCCCTGGCATGGCACAGCGAACGAAAGTAACGATGATGACCCACCAGCTTCTTTCTCTGGTCCATCCTTGTAAACCGGAACCGAGGCCGGCCGGTGGAAACCCGGCAAACGTATCGCTCCGTCCCGCCATCGTGTAGAGATGCGAGGTCCATGGTCTAACGACTACGGCATGTGTGAGTACAATGTAGTACCCCCCACACACAATCGACCCTGAGTACACTCGAATTCCCGAACGAGGTACATGAGATATGCAGATTTCATGCATGCTTCATGCGGTCTCCGACACCAGAAAGAGATGATGGATGTCGTTGGTGAGGAACCCTAGCCTTGCAAGGAAGGGCAAACTAGCTTTCCCAGTGCTTGCTGCCAGTTTTAGACTACTGTAGCCCTCGTTCTCAACATAGTCTAAGAATGTTGAAACTGCAGGTCGCACTGGAAGCTGACGTAACGTTCGGTATGTTCCGTGTGGCGCATTTGGTGCCCCATTTTGAGAAAGTCCAGAGGACGGGACCGAAGCTGGAGTCAGGCCTACCTTCACATGAAGATTCAAGAAAGTTTTCAACCAGGTCACAAGCCGATCATGCGTGCAGCAATCAACCTACCCCACCAATGAACACCACAGAAACATAACTTTCAACATGCAGAGGAGAACCAGACCGAACGTAACATGCTATCAAGAGAGTAGCACCCGCCACTATTATAATAGTCCCGCGGGAAGGAGTAGCCCCATCTTCGAAACCCATCACAAGAACCAAACGACTTGCAGACTACTTGGGCAGGCTTTCTTGGAGAGGAGTTCGCCTTCGGGCAGAAGGAGGCAGTCTGCGACGAAGCAACCCACGAAACAGGGCGGCGGTGTGAATCGCCTCCATCGCCGTATTATTTATTATATTTTTTCGCCCTAATAATTATGGCGACAGTCCCCCCATTTTTCGTGGTGAGACGTGCACTACACTCTTCAGTACTATTATAATACACTTCTCAGTGTATTTTTTCCGTGTAGGACGAAAAAAAAAAAGAAGTCTGCATGAACTTGTTGAAGAAAAAACAAAAAAAATGTATGGACGTAAAGAGTGGGTAGCGGCCTGTACTGAGAAATCAAGCCTTACTTCTTCCACGTCGAGAAACTACTTCATCGTATGAAACTTCAACATAATACTTTTACATGGACTACCCTACGAGCAATCTTGTCCGAAACATTTTCGTGATCTTGAGATTGCGTCGATACCCACCCTGCCCTAACGAACCTTGTCCCAAACTTCACGCGTGAAAAAAAAGCATTGCGTCCATTTTCCGCCGGACCTGATTTAATACCTACCGCCAGGCCCTTATCTACCTCAACACATTCACTTGTTATCCACCCCTCATTCCTGCCATGTATCCAACCAAGCTGATCCAACTCTTGCCTACTAAAAATACAGGTTCCGTGATACCGTCAAGTTTACTATTTAGAGTTCGCCGAGGAGAACAAGTCGTCGACCACGGAGAGAGGCAGAGAGAGAGAGAGAGTTACAAGAGGCGCGGAGCAGAGCCACCTGCACTTCCAGTGGTGCGACAATGGCTTCCCCGCGCGCTGGCTGTCGCCGCCACCGCAAACCGAAATAACTTCTAGCAGTCATTGAACCGCTTCCTAACGGGACAGAAATGCGGCGCACGGTTCATAATTTAGAAGAAAAAAACTAGCGGCAAAAAGAAACAAAAAAAAAAGAAAACCGACACTCGAAGTTAATTAACCGCCGAACCAAGCGTCAAGTCCGGGCCGAGATGAGCGGAAAGTGAAGATACGTGCGGTACCTCACCCCCCTCCGAACCGATTATCACAGCTACGTTACTCGACGGCGAAGAGGACGTACAACCTTCTGAGCAATGAGTTTTCGGAAACCTCTCGACAACGCGGTACGCTGCATAAGCCACGAAAGATACTACCCCTTCCATTACTCCACGACGACGGAGAGGACGTACAAACTAGTCGACCTTTTCTTTCTTCGGAATGCTGTTGACGAGGCAGACACTTCCAACGCCGCCACCACGCCGGATCGATCCCTAAACTTGAAAGCAAACACCAAAGCGCATGACCAGATCACCGCAGAACCAACTCCGCAGAGGTTCCGTCGTCGAATGAAGCGAAACACAACAACAACGACCACGACACCGCCGCAGATCCGAATCGATTCCTATGTTGATATGAAACGCAACAATGACGAAAGGTTAAAACGAAACGCAACAACAACGAAAGATTAGACCACCACCGCACCGATTCCGCCATAGACGCGTATGCATTGGAATTGAGCCGAACGCTATCAGCAACAACGACCATTGCAGCACCCATCCCGCCATCAAGGTTCAGCCGTGGATCGAGGCGAACGTCAACCACAACGACGCCGACGACCGTGATCATCAATCACCGCAGCAGCAGCAGCAGCAGCAGCAGCATGCCCAAGTCCCTAAGACGTTTCATCGATCACCGCAGCAGCAGCAGCAGCACCTCCATCTTCCCTACGGCGTCGAGGAAGTCGAATCCTTCCCCGACAACACTAACGACGACGATGACCGTGATCATCAATCACCGCAGCAGCGGCAGCAGCAGCAGCAGCACGTCCAAGTCCCTCCTAAGACGTTTCATCGATCACCGCAGCAGCAGCAGCAGCACCGTCGGCTCCCTCCTAAGGCAAGGAGGAAGTCGAATCGTCCCCGCCATCCAGCAGGTTCAGGAACGGCGACGACGCCGACAGCGAGCCGCTGTGGGGCGTGGTGGTGGTGGCGCTACTAGAAGAGGAGCTCGAGAAGCAAAGCGAGTGGTAGTCGGCGCGCCCTCCCGACACCCCCTCTCCGGCCGCGGAGCCCGCCCTCCCCTCTCTCCCGGCGGAACCTCCGCCGCCAGAGGAAGAGTTGGAACTCCCTCTTCTTGCCGCCGCACCGGCTTCCCGGGGTCCTCCACCGCGCCCGGCGGGCAGCGGGGTTACGCCGTCGCAGCCAAACGTAGCGGCTACGGGCCTGGCCACGGACGCCTCGCCAACGGCAAACGACCCGCCACCGTCGCCTCCGCCGCCTGAGGACGATGATTTCCTCCCGTTGCTCCACCTGCTGCCGCCAACACCGGCACCCGGGTACATCGATCCCTCCGTCGCGAAGCCGTCCGTACCGCTTCCGCCGCCGCCGCCGCCGCTGCTGCTCCTCTCAGCCCCTACTACTCCGCGGGTGGAGTCTTCGCCCTCCACATCTTGGTGGTGGTGCCCGAGCCCCGTGTTTAACGCCCCGCGACGGCGAGCGGAGCTCCAACCAGCCCCGGAATCATCGTCCCCGGGTCGGCGCTTGATGGTCGAGCACCCGCCCCACGTGCTCCCGAGCGACTGCCGCGAGGAGTCCCCCGCGCCGCCGCCGCCCCCGCGGCCGTTGGTGGCTCCCGCCGGCGTACGCGGTCTCAGCCACCCCGCTCGCGATACCGAGTACCCGTCCAAGCCTTCCCCGTCGCTGCTATCGTTGTCATCGAACATCAAAGATGAGGACACGTTGTCGCTCGCGGCTTGGTCTTCCCGACCGTCACCGCTGCTGCTGCCGCGTATCCTCTCCGTGGAGCGAGAAATTTCACCGCCCCCCCCCTCAGAAATGCGCGAAAGGCCTAGGCCACCGCCGGCGGCCGCCGCCGCCGCCGCGGTGTTCTTCCTTCTCAGGGACGCAGCCAGCGGTGCGGCCGCCATCACCACACCGCTGGAGCTCTCCCCCCCCGCCGCCGCCGCCGACACCGTCATCGCTGAGGCGCCGTCATGAAACAAGCGCCCTCCTCCAAAACCGCCGCCGCCGCCGCCGCCGCCACCACCGGCCGCGGGGGTAGCCTCAACTTGCGCAGCAGCAGCAGCAGAGGAACAACCAAGAAGGTGCCTAGGAACGTCGACGTCGCCGCCGCTCCGGGTTCCGTCGCCGGTGCAGCCACCGGCGCCGCCGCAAGCGGCGGCGTCGTCGAGCCGCGCCGGGGAGTCGTCGTAGACGTTATAGGACGACAGGTGGCCCGGCGCCGTCGGGTCCCACTCGTAGCTGTCCTCCAGGATGGAAAGCTCTCCTCCGCGCCTGCGCGCGGACGGCGACACGACAACCGTCGCCGCTGCGGGCGCCGGCAGCGGCAGCGGGAGCTCCTCCTCTCTGGCTTGCTCTGCAGGTGCCGAGAAAGCGGCGGTTGTGCCGCGGTTCCGGGGGTTAACGGCGGGAGGAGGCGGGTTGGCGTCTACGAACACCGGGAACGGCAACGACGATGCCGCCGCCGTGCCCGCTGCTACTACCGGCGCGGCACCAGCGGCACCATCCCTCGGAGGCGCAGGACCACGACCAAAAGACCTCACGAGGGCACCTGGCAATTTCGTCTCCGCTCCGCTGACCCCCGGAGCTTGTCCCGCCAATGGCATCGATCGAGCAAAGCCACCACCGCTACCAGCAGCCGATTCATCATCGCTGCCACCGCCGCCGCTGCAGTCGTCCTCGGACCCATCACCACCGCGGTCCCGGTAGACGGCGAACCCAAGGCCGCCGCCCGATGAGGCCTCAGCAGACGTCAAGCCGCCGGGAGAACTCGGAGTAGCAGTGGCCACTGATTCCGCCGCCGCCGCCGCCGCCGCCACCGCCACCGCCACCGCCGATGCCGCACTATCGTCGACACCGACATCGCCGGTGCTCGCATCTCCATCGCCGTCCTGAAACACGGAGAAACCTAGACCAGACGAGGCCCCTGCCAGGCCGCCGCCGCCGCTAACCTTACCGTCACCGGCGGCATCCTCGAAGACGGGGAACCCTAAGCCCTGAGCTGAAGCAGTAGCAGCACCACCCCGACGACCATAGCCACCGGCAGCAGCACCGCCACCACCGATAGCACCGGGAGCAGCAGGAGCAGCAGCATCCCCCGCGCCGTCGCGGAACACAGCGAAACCAAGCCCCGAGGACTCCCCCCCCGTCGACGACGACAGATGACCGCCGCCCCCTTGCCCCACCGCCGCCGCCGGCGCATCCGAAACCCCTAGCCGGCCGGTGGGAGCCGAAGCCGTGGTCCTGCTGCTCCTGCTGTGGCCGGTAGTGCTCGAAGCTGGCGCGGTCGTGGCTCTCGACATCCCGCGGAGCACGTCGGCGTTGGTGAACCGTGTCGGCTGGGAGCTGCGATCACAGAGCGGCGCCAGGAGCCCCCCCCCCCCGCCCCCCCCTCCTCCGCCC